AGGCGCAAAGGCGACGGCCAGACGGATATTTCAGCTATGCGAATGCTGCGGTCACCCGCGACTTACAAACGAGGCCACTATGCCATTTGCAGAAGACGCACCCAGGACATGTGAACATGACATTTGTCGTCTTCAAAGTTTGCGATGAGGAAGTCGGTATGGGAGCATAGGCCTGATGTCACGAGTAGCTGGGACGTCCTCACGGGACACAGCATCATCTTGTGCACGGATCCTTCAAGTTCCGCAGACGTCTGTTCTCAGTAGATAGAGGCGCACGTGTCTACTGAGAATACAATACGTGTTTCTGGAGTCGGTTTACGACCGTGTGTACCTTTGACTGTGGCGTCCGCATGGTAGGCCTCGATATCGTACTGTACTTTTTCGACCTGGCCGACGAGAAGCGCCCAAATTAATTTTCCGATAACCCCCCAAGTTAAAATTAATTTTCCGATAACTCCCCAAAGTCAACCGTCACCATGGTTATGGCGGTGCGCACTACGTTGTCAAGGCCAGGTGATGGACTGGTCGCTGGCGTCACTCATGTTGAAAGCAAAACTCGCAGCGATCCCAAGCCGCTGGGCGATGTCGGAATGGCAGGGCAGAGCCTCTTTATCGCTGCTCTGAGCAGGTCCCACCAAAGAGGCGCAAAGGGTGAATCATTAGGCTAAAATGCGCAGTGGCCAATGCAGGTGGGCAGCGCGGGCTCAGCCGTTGAAGACGGGTATATTATGTGTTAAAAACTGATTCGAGTCGGTGTAAATCCCGGGCAAATTTTCGTCAAAGTTTGGGCGTCCTATCCTAACCTAGCTCTTGTCATAAATTTCACAGGGAGCGAAAATTTTACCTCACTCGTCAGAACAGTACCCAAGAGTTTCGGCCACATACTACCGTAGATTTTCGACCCGAACGGCGGCCACAGATTACAGGGGCCTCAAATCCGCCGCTTAGAGGCTTCCGTCACGAGTCACAGAGGGACTCGCCGTGTATCCAAATCTTTTGGGCCTGTGGCGCACCCGTCGACTGCCGCCACTTCGCGGCGGCCGTCACAGGTCACCGAGGCCTCCGCCGTTGTCGCTGCTACGGCTGTACACGGTCACAGTCACACTCGCCGCCGTTCAGGTCGAAAAAGTACAGTAACATGCACTGGGTTTCTTGATGATATTGATAACCCATTGGCAGTCCCGAACGTCACTCAAGTCATACTGTCTGGTGCGAGCAAGCAACCAAGGGAGATATCGGCTTTCCTGCTCTTAGTTCGATACAATGCTATGGCGCAACTTATAAAACCTCACCCGCAGGACGGACCTTTCTCCACTTTCTATAACAGATCTCGCCTCCAGAGAAACCATGACAGCCACGTCCACTGTGTCACTCGTCAAAGAACTTCTTAAAGTCGTCGGATCGCTCGAAGAGCAAGGAGTGAATGGTCATCTACAGCCGCAACAGGCTTACGAGGCAACAAGGCGAGTGGAGGCCCTCACCGACGAGATCAAAAGGGCGGTGCTCGGACCCCTGGAGTACACCATTCAGATCGCAGGCAGCTCTCTGTCTCATTCTAATCGTACAACATACTGGATTTAAAATAATAGAGTCTTTCCAAGGAAGCTCAGCTCTGCGATTCGTCACAGAACTTGGAGTCGCAGACGTGATAGGGGATGACGTTAAGATGCTTTCCGCTATCAGCCAGCAAACGGGAGTCGATAGGCTATACTTGGGCAAGTGGCTAAACCTTCTTTAAGTTGCCTCTGGCCTTTCTGACGTTCTGGTGGTATTCGTCGTATGCGGGTACTACCATAAGTTGCCTCGTCGCCCATGGATACTTCGAAGTTGATGGCTTCGGGTCTCGAA